ATCTGAGTATTGTCGAGCACGAGAACGTGAGACGTTCTTTGAGAATTATAGCGTTTGTTATAGAGTGACTGTTGAAATTAAGTGTATCGGTAAAGTTGTATTCGGAAAGAATACACCAGTTTTATTTAAGAAAGGACTTGTGTCACTAAAGTTTCGTTGGAACGAATTTACGGAAAATCAGTTAACGAACGAACGGAGACGTAACATTATTATGCATAATAAAACTGCGCGCCTTGGTCAAATTTACATCTAAGGGGTAACACTAAGAATTCACTAGTGCTATTATGACGTAAGAAGATCAGACAGTATCTACATTTTTCTTTTTTTGCAACAGATAAATATAAATTGCAACACAACATGGATTCTATTGGTCAAAGTATTGCATAGTAATTAAATTCAACTTCTACAAAAGTTAGGGTGCTCGTATTTTTCACATCAAAGACAACAAGTACTGGATTTTCGACATGTGAATACGGTAAGGAAAAAGAGGGCTGGCAGAAAACTACATGAACTTGTAACAAACAACTAGTCTGTTTCTGTGATGCACAAAATCTGAACAAGTTCTGACGACAACTCCATTTAATTTTTACAGTTAAACTTTCATCCACCATCACAAAAGGTTTTGTGAACTTGAAAACATGACGCTCCACATGTTTAGTTAGACCTGTTGTTTAAGCTGCAGAATAACCGTCATTTTTACAGCAGACATTCATGGATTTGGATATATTTAAATAAACATCATAAAGTTGGACTCTTTGGTCACTTTTCTTTATTTTGAGAAGTTTTAAGATGTAGATTCCAATATATATATATCTATATATTCTCATCAAAGTTTTGATTTTCATGTCTTTGACACTATAAAAATTCTTTTAAATATTATACTAGCTTTCATTCTAAGATGCTATGGATTTTCATAAATGTACAGCCTAAAGTAGTAAGATGGCAACTATGTTACGTAACAATCAATATGAAGTGTGTTAAATAGCACAGCCTAAAGTAGTAAACTAGGAACACTGTTATATAACAAGCAATGGGAATTATGTTAAATAGCACATCCTAAAGTAGTAAACTAGGAACACTGTTATATAACAAGCGTTTAACATAGTTTCCATTTATAACAGTGTTCCTAGTTTACTACTTAAAGATGTGCTAATAACAAGCAATGGAAACTATGTTAAACAGCACATCTTTAAGTAGTAAACTAGGAACACTGTTATATAACAAGCAAATGGAAACTATGTTAAACAGCACATATTTAAGTAGTAAACTAGGAACACTGTTATGTAACAAGCAAATGGAAACTATGTTAAACAGCACATCTTTAAGTAGTAAACTAGGAACACTGTTATATAACAAGCAAATGGGAACTATGCTAAACAGCACATCTTTAAGTAGTAAACTAGGAACACTGTTATATAACAAGCAATGGAAGCTATGTTAAATAGCACATCTTTATATAGTAAACTAGGAACACTGTTACATAACACGCAAATGGAAACTATGTTAAATAGCACATCTTTAAGTAGTAAACTAGGAACACTGTTATATAACAAGCAATGGAAACTATGTTAAACAGCACAGCCTAAAGCAGTAAGCTAGTAACACTGTTACATAATAAGAAATGGGAACTGTGTTAAACGGTCCTTGTCACAAGATGACCTAAATGTTTTATGTACTATACACCTTTGAAACATTCGTTCTTTTTCTACCACACTTCATAAATAAATTGAAAATATCACTCCTTAACTTTTGAGGTGTGCACAAGTCACTATGTACAGTGAATCAGCGTATCCACGGTTAAACCTGATGACCGATTTACCTTGGTCGATTTTACGAACGACGCCTACAGTCCAGACAAAAGTAGCTATAGTGATTATTTGAAAAATGGACGCTTATTGCTACATGTTATATATACATTTTCGTTATGTATTATAATTGAAAATATAGTGAACATGAGTAGCAATTTTATTTTGCAAATTTATATAGTTTAAAATATATTCGGACTAAATTCGATTTCAGTAAGTGAATCAAACATTTTTTAATATTTATTATTTAACTTTACCAAAGTGTTCCACCCAACATTTCACATTCAAGAACTAAAGCGCTTTGATAATTGCAACATCTACCAATCACGAAGATCTGGACAACAAAATGTATGTATCATACAACAGCTGTTTATTTGTTTGTTGTATCATACAACAGCTGTTTATTTGTTTGTTGTATCATACAACAGCTGTTTATTTGTTTGTTTTGAATTTCGCTTAATACTAATCGAGTGTATCTGTGCCAGCCGACCTTAATTTAGTGATAGACCAGAGAGAAGGCAGCTAGTCAACATCACCCACCGCCAACTCTTGGGCTACTCTCTTATCAACGAATAATGGGATTGACCGTCTCATTATAACGCCCTTATGGCTGAAAGGGAGAGCTTGTTCGGTGACAGGGATTGGAACCCGCGACCCACAAATTGCTAGTCTAACACTCTAACCACTAGGCCTTATATCGGATGTACAACTTAGAGAATACCACCAACTTTAGAGTTAACATTAATTCATTCATATTACATATTTAGATCAAGTGACCCCATAGTAGATTATTCTCGATTCAGGAATGGTATATAAAGAAAAAAAGTAAAGTAAGTTAGCAACCAGA